GTCATCTCTCTTTCCCTCTCTCGTTAATCCCAACCGGAGTTACGATTTTCCCTTCGTATCGTAACTCCTCGTAACAACAATCTCTTGCTTCCGATCTCGATCTCACTTTCGAGTTTTAGTTTTGTCGGAAAGTTATATCATTTCGCGAATTAATCCCACAAAAAAAAAAGGTAGATTTGAATCTCAATTTTTCTGATTACAGATCTTGTATATCTCGCAATGTAAGATTGATTTCATTGCATTTTTTGTTAGGGAAGGAGGAAATTTGCAAATTTGATCCGTTGGGTGGTGTTAAAAAGTGAGATTTTTGTTTGTTTAGATGAAGTGAATATTTTTATTTGAGGTAGATTATGTGAGTTATGGTATCTGCAACTATATTGCGGATGGTAGCACCATGTTGGACACGACCTTCTGTGAAAGGAGAACATTCAAACAGAAATGGAGATGTTAATGGAAGATGTGATGGTCTTCTTTGGTATAAAGATTCTGGTAATCATGTTGCTGGAGAGTTTTCAATGTCTGTGATTCAAGCTAATAATCTTCTTGAAGATCATAGCAAGCTTGAGTCTGGACCCGTTAGTATGTTTGATTCGGGTCCTCAAGCTACTTTTGTTGGTGTTTATGATGGTCATGGAGGTCCTGAAGCTGCTCGCTTTGTTAATAAACACCTGTTCGATAACATCAGAAGTACGCGCTTTTCTTTCTTTGTTTTCGTGTATTTTGGGACTTGTTTAGCTATATGCTTTAACTTGTGGTGATGCTTTTGTGATTGCAGAGTTTACATCAGAGAATCATGGAATGTCTGCATCTGTTATAACGAAAGCGTTTTTAGCTACGGAAGAGGACTTTCTTTCGCTTGTGCGGCAGCAATGGCAGACGAAACCACAGATTGCTTCTGTTGGAGCTTGTTGTCTGGTAGGGATCATATGTAGTGGATCGTTGTACATTGCAAACGCGGGGGATTCTCGGGTTGTACTAGGAAGACTGGAAAGAGCATTTAAAGTTGTCAAGGCCGTTCAATTATCGTCCGAGCACAATGCAAGTCTTGAATCTGTGAGAGAGGAATTGCGCTTGTTGCATCCAAATGATCCTCAGATTGTCGTCTTGAAACACAAAGTTTGGCGTGTCAAAGGTATTATACAGGTAAAAATACTTTCGCGGTAATGCAAATTCTCGATTTCCAGACTCTCTTTTGTCGCAAAGTAGCTTGACTGCGAAAGATACAATTATGCCGTATGCAATAGAAGTAGAAGAAGAGATTTACAATATCCCCACTTTAAGAAGAGAAGAATAGAAGATTTCTTGTCAAGTTATAATTTTGAAACCTTTGTCTGGTTCTTGAAGGTCTCACGGTCGATTGGTGATGCCTACTTAAAGAAAGCAGAATTCAACCGAGAACCGCTATTGGCAAAGTTCAGGGTACCTGAGCTTTTTCATACACCAATCCTTAGAGCAGAGCCTGCAATTACAGTACACAAAATCCATCCAGAGGATCAGTTTCTTATATTTGCATCAGACGGTTTGTGGGAGCACCTAAGCAATCAGGAAGCTGTTGACATTGTGAACACTTGCCCGCGTAATGTAAGATTCTTCTCGCTCTTTCTTTGTTTCCTTTCGTATAGATATAGATTGAAACATATGGGTGCAGGGAATTGCGAGGAAGCTCATAAAAACAGCTCTTAGAGAAGCAGCAAAGAAGAGAGAAATGAGATATTCGGATCTAAAAAAGATCGATAGAGGAGTGAGGAGACATTTTCACGATGATATAACGGTCATAGTTGTGTTTCTGGATTCGCATCTCGTCAGTCGCAGTGCTTCACGCCGACCTCTTCTCTCCATCTCCGGTGGTGGTGAATTGGCTGGACCTTCTTCTTCTTGACTCACTCACACC